ATATTGAATAATACACAGCTCTAGACTTTTAACTGTTGATACAGTTAAAAAATTGTTAAACTTTTACAAATGGACAGAATATTTTTTAGCAATTATGTTATAAACTGTTAATTTGACAACCTGATGAATTCAAACTAGCATATCTATGTAAATTTCAGTATTTCAGTGTTTTACTAAAACTCATCTATTCACGAAAAGTTATAAATCAACATTGGGCTATAAGTTATCATAGTGAAGTGCTCAGGTACATTTACATAAGTATAATAAAATACTATTTTAACTTTATTTGTAAATGTATGTATCTGCTAAGTACACATGCACTTTTTCAGAAAATTTCAACGTTGGTATGAATGGTTATAGGTTCTTGTTCTGATTGTTATTTTGGGTGCCTATCCAATAACCAAGATGCATTCAGATTCATTAGGGATACCTATGTGTGGGCTCATCACAATCCTTTGCTTAAGATCAAGTACATAAATGCCCTTTCTTTCTTTCTTTCTTTCTTTCTTTCTTTCTTTCTTTCTTTCTTTTCTTTCTTTCTTTCTGTTTTAATAACCAAGGCCATTTCTTATACTAAATGCTAAAGCTTTTGTACAAAAAAAAAAAAACCCTTGACTAATCTTTGTTCCTGGCCCTGAGTTCATAGTTTCTAAGCCCTGAAATTTTCTGAGTGATAAGGATATTTTGTTATTCACAGTGGGCTACACCTTAAAGGAATTTAAGGTAAAGAGATTGCAGGAGGGAGGTCAGTCATACCTGAAAGATTAGTCACGTGACTAAAACACAGAGATGCAGGATACCTGTCTGACCACCAGGGAGGGAAAGAGTGAATTCAGCTCCATTGTCAATAATCCAATCAGATGTGTCTGTGACTGAAACCCCACTATTTTTATTAATGGTGGTTACCAAAGCTCAGATGAGCTCTTTGGTGATATACATCAGTGTGATAGAGGGACAGGTCTCCTGACTATTACAAGAGAAAACAGAAGCTTCCGTGCTTTTTTGGGCTGATTCTAATTTGTATCTTTTCATTATCATAAAATGGCTATGAAAAAGTAATGCTTTTCTATGAGTTGTTCCAATGAATTATTGAACATGAGGAAAGTAATAGGAATATGCAAATTTGTAGTCAGCACAGAAGTAAGGTTCCTTTGAGTATCCTTAAACTTGTAGTTGTAATCTGATGTAATAACAGTCTTGTAAAATACTGAGTTAGCCTGACTGCATGTATTTGAATTTTACTGAGCTTCCAGGCATATATATATATATATATATGAAACTGTATCTATATTTATTAAAACAAAATAATTATATAGATCAAGGTATTTATTGACTTTCTCTTCAGATTTAATATTTATAATTCTAATAGGGAGTGAAAAATCAAAGGCAGAGTCTCAAATATTAACTTTAGCTATAAGGCTTTGTCAGCAATAATAAGGTATTTGACAAATTGTTCAGATTATTAAGATAAAGTAATAGGAAATAAATTAAATTTGAGCTTGTTAGAATTATTTATTTTTAATATGATCCAGTGCAGAGCACTGTTCTTTCAATCAATGAAAATCTAATGTTGTCAGAGAATTATTTCTAAAGGATGATACTTAAACATTAGTGTGTTACAGTCTCATGATAATTAAACATACTTTTAACAAAAAGGTCTTCTGTGATAATCTGGAGAACTGACGCATTCAACTAGGTAAACAGGACTTTTTATTATAGTCTTGCTTATTTATTTATGCTAATATAAATTATGAATTTGTAGAATGATTCAGATATGGCATTCTTATATTATTGACATTTTTCTACAACATTTTGTTGTGCCAGTGAGAAAACATCACATAGGTTTTAACTGGAATGCTTTAAAATTGGATTCATATTTTAAATCATACAGAATTTACATTTTTAAAAAAGTACATTATCTTTCATGTTCATTTTAATACATAGAAAAAATGCATTACTCATTAACTAACCAGAACAAAACATAACAAAATAACAAACCAATAACAAAACTCAAAAGTTAAGTGTCTTTCTATATTACTGCATACCTTAAAGATTTAAAAGTCAAACTTATGGGTAGGCTAACAAAAATTTTCTTTTAAATAACAGCAGGGGGAAGTGTTAATTGGATATACTTTTTGAGTTTTTAAAAGATCAAAGGAGAGCCAATTTTTCTTTTTAAAAATCAGAGTAACCAAAATTACCTGTAAGGGATATATTGGTGACTCTGCAGAAATACAGTAAGTATTGAGAGAAAGTACAACAGCCTTTTTTTAAAATGGGATTTACAATGGGTACTAAACTTGTACTACTTACACTAAACTACTAAGCACAACTTCAGGTTTATTTTTGAAACCATGGATACAGCTTATATCTAATATATAAGGCTCTTTTCACACATTGATACAAAAGATATCACTACTCTGAAACCTGTTTATAACTTGGTTATTTTAAGGTCACTCTGAAAAAGGAAAAGATATTTTTTTAGAAAATATCTAAAAATAGCTCAGTTAATACAATACAGAACTTAAAACTCTTGGATTTGCAGGGTTTTACAAATACATTAGCAATGCTTATTTGGATTTCTTCAGGTCTGTCATTATCTTTCCAAATTGTGAGACCTTGTAACACAACATAAAGAACATATAACTCTATAGTTTTACATAAGAAAGAAAACTTGCAAAGATATTGGCAAGATTATCACTTTGTAATTATTTTACCCAAACTAGTTTTATCCCGCCTTTTTGACATCAGGGGCATTGCGTGCTCAGAGGCTAATAGGACGAGGAGTAAAATAGTGAAAAATATCATAAAAACAAAACACAAATTGATTTTTAATTGTTTATTATTGTGATAATGAATTGATCCTGGCAGTTGAATTTATTTTAACAGTGCAATTACTTTCCAAAGAAAGCTGAAAGGGTAGCTAAGTAACTGTGTCAGGCACATTGGAAACTATGTTTGACAGCTAGCCTGAGGGACTCCACGGAGCCCAGTTTGAAAATCACATTATTAAGTAGCTAGATGAGTTAAAAGTGTCAAGTCACGAACCCAAAGAACTAAATGAGAATGGCAGAGTGCCTTTCCTTCACATCTGACATGAATGGTAGCTGCAGGAAAATCTCCAATTGTCTTCCTCGCCGTGCTCGCTCTGGGAGCCTGCACTAGAATCCTGCAGGAATCCGCACTCTCTTTAACGAGACCCTAGGCAATTGCTTTCTTTTTATACTCTGGTGTCCTTAGACATCCTCTAGTTCCTTCCCTTGCTCTTGAAATCTGCAGCCAGTTACCTCAGGAAAAGTCAGTCCCTCACCCTTAGCCTGTCTTTTCCATTTGAAAAGAGAAAAAGATCCCCGTGAGTAACTGCAAAAGGTCTACCAGCTGTTTCTATGCTTTCAGATGAGAATTTTAATTCTGGAATGAATCAGAGATTAAATAAATCCTACCAACTCAACAGGCCTTTTGGAGAAATTAGGACTCTATTTCAGTTTGTTTACAAGATTCTATTTATTGCCTTTTCTGCCTGGTTAACATGTTCTTCTTCAAATACAAGTGCCTGCCATGATAAGGAACAATTCCTTTCAATTTTGTGTCTGATTAACCTGATCTATCATGGACTATCCAAGGGAATATTCTATTGCTTACTAATACATTTACTAATGTCTGAAGAAATTCAATTTCTCTCGACTGATTTCTTAGGCAATTAATGCTTTCCTTAAATATGTTCTATCCATTCTAATGATACTATGTTTGTGGAGTATTAGAATGCTGTCACTGTAACCTACACATAAGTGCAATCCAGTACAACTATCTTCTCAAAGCCAAATCAGCCTTCTATCAGAATGGTAGATCCATAGCTTAAATTCTGTGGTATCCTTGTGATTTATATTCCTAGATACAACATGAAATATAAGAGGATAAAAAGAAAAAGGACAAGTTGTTTCAGAAACAAGTTTGTAGGGAGAGGTTTAAGAGATTGCTGTTAAAGTGTCACCATGACACCTTGATAGTTTGTAAATATGAAGTGTTCTTATTGCTTACTAAACCATACAATAAAGCTGGAGTAATCCCATTCCAATAGCAGAGGTAACTTCAGCAAGGTTGAGAGAATCTGTCATGCACCTAGCTCCTAACAATTTATCTCATATTTTTCAGTTATGTGCACTGGGGATGTGGGAAACTATCATCAACGTATTAATTTTCTTTTTCAGTTTAGAAACTAAAGTGAGCACAGTTTTTTTAAAGAGTATATTCATTTTCCTATGTGATTTTGTTTTGTCTTTTGAATCTTAACATGTTATGAACAGGTAATTGGGCCTTTATCAATCACTACTTTCCATGTTTCTTCTCTGGCCATTTAATGACATATTGGATACATTCCAAAGTTTGGTCCTTGAAAGGCTGCCCAGTTTAAAACTTAAAAAAAAATTTTTTTCCTCAGGTCTGAGAGACCTGAGGAAGATCTTTTGCTGAAGATTGAACCCAGAGTCTTTACACTGAACTGCATACTTGGCCCTTTTAATTTTTTTAAAAAAATTTTTGGGAAAGGCTGGGCTCAAAGTTACAAACCTCCTGCCTCAGTCTTACAACTAATTCATTGGAATTATAGGCATGAGCTACCACACCTGGTTTCATTAAAATTTTCATCCCAATTTAAATTCAAATCTTATCTCCTCTTCATGCCTTTTTCGTATAGAGATCAATTGGAGATTGTTGGGTCTACTGAATGAGCGGGCAATTTATAAACCTCACAGAAGGTTTCTGACCCATGTGGGCCCAATAAGCCTGCCTAGCACCCCTTCTGGACTATAGATGTCAATTCTGGACAATTTGACAATATTAACGAATGTCCTATAACATATAAAAATAAAGCATGTGGTACCCATGGTGTTCAACTTAGAACACACTTCTGTAAACTTTCATTTTCCATCCGCCGCCATTGTACATTTCATCTCTACTCTCAAAGATAGCAAAAGCATAACACTGAAGAAAAGTTGGCTTACCATGGCTGTTACATCTGGACGTTTCCACGAGCCTGCCGTTTTGATCATAGCATGCCATTGCTTGGTAACGATATCCTTGGCCACATTCCTTAATGTCTCCTTGTACTTTCATTCCCAGTAAAACTTCCACCTTCCCCTCTGGTAAAATACAGTCTGACCAGTTGCCCACGGGCTGGGCATTGTATTTGTCACAAGGACAATACTGGGTCTCAATGAGGGGGTACAAATGTGAATTTTTACACTTTTCCTTCTTTTTACTTTTTCCTGTAGCAAAGAAATACCAGACACTGAATTTTAAAAAGCAAAACAAAACAGCACTCATCAACTTCAAGCATCCCTCAATTTTCTAATGTCTTAAGCTTATTTTCTTTGTTTTTAACCATACTGAATGACAGACTAAAAATAAATGTTATATTTTAATTCAAAAAGTTTTCTATAGAGATTTTTGCTGGTTTTGGAAATCTCTCTCTCCCCAGGACTGGAGGTCGAACCTAAAACCTTCACACTGAACTACGTCCCCAGCGTTTTGTTATTTTTTATCGCATGACTGTGTCCCACTAACTCCTTAATTTGCCCAAAGTTGGGATTGAACTCGCGATCCTTCTCTCTCTGTCACCCAGACTGCTAAGGGCATTTGGTACTTTACATAGTGAAATTTTTCCTATTTAAAAGTAGTTCATTTTGCAAAAAGGATTGACTGGGGTATTGAAAATTTTCCTCTTTAAAATGATTAAAACCCTCTGAAATAATCAAGTGTTTCCACTGACTGGGGAAGATGAGGTAACTTCATACACCTTTCCTTTATAACATACGCAAAACTATGAGATGAGTGATTTCATCATACTGCATATCACACTTATTAATTCAGATAGGTAGTATATTTACATACAGAAGGATTAAGATTTGAAAAATGACATTTTTAGACTTACACCTCTGATTATGATTTGTATCTTTCAGAATTCCTCAAGAATAAACATTTCAACATACTTGGTGATTAATGTAGGAACTATCAATAACACATACAACGAAGATAAAATACTTGAACATAATTGAATCTAAATAAATATCTTAAAAAGCTTCTTGGGTATGTTATGTATGTGCTTGGAAAAGGATTATTTTATTTATATCACATAAAATGTAAAACATAAATTAATTATGTCTGTTTATCTCACATTTTCATTAGCTGCCTTATATAGCCAACAGCTTCATTTTACAGGTAGTTCATTTCATAATTTTGAAATTCTGAATAGGTCTATTATCCTCAGTGTTTCAGGTTTTAATTGTCACTTACAGTATTTTAGAACACATCCAGCTGTAGTTGAGTATGATGACTCCTGCTTTGCTTGTTATGTCACTGCTTTTTGTGTGACTGTGACTTCTTTTTTAGTTGCAGTTTTCAGATACACAACTAATATTATATTCAAGGAGATGAAGGATAGTGTGAGCCCATACCAGTGAGACTGGGTTAGGAAACTGAAGGGTACGTTTCCCTCTCTGCTAGAAGAGCTCACCAGTTTCTGGATAATTCACTAAAAGTACATATTCAAATAAAGCCAAATCTGTCATGTTTCATGTAGTAAGCCTGCCTTTTCTTTCTCCTGTACTAAAATGAAACAATATTTCAATCACTGCCAGCCTACATTAAAATATGCATCCAAATCCACTGACATATTCAGTTTAAGTCTAGCGGTTACAGGGCAGCTATCAAATACATTGTCAGAACTCTCGTGATTTGATTGTATCTTGACGATAGATTGTTTTAGCATCGCAATTGTTCTCACCAACAATAGTGCGCTTTCTGGTCCTAACTGCGCCACAGTCTCCGTTGCATGAAGAAAACTTGGACCAGCTGGTAAATTGACAGTCGTCTTGGCAGGGGACCTGGCAAGCCTGAGTGAGGGCTGGCACAGGGCCTGCGTACTGGAGGCATTCATGGATAGCAGCCTGTCCTCCATCTTGCTTTCGACAAGTAATGGCTAAAAAGAAGCAGAAGTCTAGTTACTCTGTAATTTAGAAATGAACATTTACTTATGCAGAGGAATCCTCTCTTAAATTCACTACTTATAGGCAAAATCTGGCAGGAATATTTTTAATAATCATAGTTGACACTGTTACCGATCTTGAAGGTTTTTAAAGTAACAAAGACTATAACCTTCATTGAGTTTTATGGTGCAGGAAAGCACACACTTAGTAGCTTTTATCAGTTTTCAATAGGTGCTATTAAATATTTCAATTCATGTCACATGTGGGGTACATTTGGAAATGAATTTGTTTCTGGAGGCAAATAAACATAGATTCTGACAATAGTTTATATAGAACAGAGGATATTCACAAAAGTTCTAGAAGACACCAGGTACCTCCAGTGTTGTTTGAGAACACTGGACAATCTAGGTTTTCTGTATAGAAGGGTCTTAGTGGTAGCAAATTGATTGGTAGGTTGATGTAAAGAGAGAATGTCTACGGAACTTATCTAGAAACAGTATCAGCATAAATGAGTGTTAATCCTGATATGTCAGCTTCATTGTATTAGAAATGCTGAGCAGATCCGTAAAGCAGGCTCCTGGGTATGTCTTGCCTGGCCATTGAAGTGTGACCTTGTGTTTTATACACATTTCTCCACCTGATCATCCCTGGCACTGCTCCCTGCTCTGCTCCTGGGAGACATGAGCTATGCATCATGCCCACTGTGATGTTTCTGTCTTGGAGTCAGCTGAATCCTGAGATAAATTAAACCTTGAGTGTGACTATTGCATCTAGAAAAGGGAAAGTAGACTAAAGTGGCACAGAAAGCATTTGTTTTTACATTTTCTATATCATATGGTTCCTGGGATAGAATTGGAGTGATTAATGAGGAAGCACTGTTAAAATCTTCATCCTTCCATTTCACAACTTCTTCATATGCACAAGCATCAAACTGAATTTAAAAACTAAAACAGAAACAGTGAACAATGTATCATGTCAGTAGCATTTCCACAATTACATGTAGACACTAGAAATGATCAGATTAATTCACATATTATTTCTTCTAAGATACTGTCCTAAGTAGGTGATGTAAAAGAAGAAATAATTTTATCCCTTACTAAAAATGGATACAATATCATTTGAAAGTAACAGGTCTAAAGAACAAAGAGCAAATAGCACTGCATTCCCCTTTTTCCTTCTGTTATTTCCATCACTGTTTATTAAAAATCATTCATTTACTGAGAAGAAGGTGACACATTTACATTTGGTCCTGTACTTCATTGGGTCACTTTAGATAGCCTCACTGAGACTGATTTCCATGGCTTTTCAGGTTTATGGCATGGCCTGAATCCACCTCTGATCTCAGCCTTCCTCAGTACCCCATCATCAACAAATGAAGGGAGAGAACCTGCCACTTTGACACCAAGAGATCCCCAGGTCACACAATGCTCTCTGCATCTATGAATTAAAACCTGACAACGAGTAGCATAGAGCTGTAATGAGGTGTGTGCAAGGATAAAACTGATATTTTTAGGAAAGGAAAGTGTTCAGTGTAGGTGAACACAACTTATTCAAATACTGCAAGAAGTATACAAAAAACCTTCTTTAACTATGCAGGTGAATAATCTCCTATTTTTTTATGTCACTTCATTTGTATATGCAAAGATAGTAGTGCTAATTTGTATGAAAAAACAGGAGTGTTTGCATTTTAAGGATAATACCATTTGCTAAAGCAGATGTTGCTATAGTGGCCTTTATGTAGGTCATGTAACAAGAAAAAGCATAAATACAACAAAAAGAGAACCTCACTGCTTGCAGAGGTCGTTTTCGAGTGTTTTTAGTGTTAATCATAAGATTCTTGCGTGGTTATACTATCAAGCTGTAGATTATAATCAGCTGGCTAGCTTTTGAAAATGCCTATGCGATCATTTGCTAAATGTCGAGCATTTTGACTTCACTGGTTGAGGACACTGTCCTCAGTATTAGTATCTTTTTCAAGCTAATATTCCAAATGTGCAGGCTGGTTAAGAACTTTTCTTATGGGTAATATATTTTCACCTGAATCAGGAACACCTGGAATTCTGACTGAGACTTGAGGTGAGGATGTAAAGTTCTTTGGTACCTGGTCACCCTTGTACCATGCCAAGCTTTGGGAAACTGGCAGACAGGTATCCACTATGGGAAGTTCTAACTTGCAGTTCAAAGGGAGAACATCATGGGGATCCATCAATTTTTAAAAATGCTATCATAGTATGTTGTGGAAGGAATCAACTTAATAATAAACTGACTTTTCAGTTCTTTCTGCCATTTGGAAGCAGGATTGAACATCTTAAACTTAGTAGGTTCCCATAGTTTTTGGTGAAAAGCTGCCCCAAGATTGTCTTAGAAAAGAAGATATTAGACATTTATCTAGTCAGGATATATGGAGTCTCCAAGAATTATTAATTTAGAAAATAAGAGATTGGACTAATCCTAAAGTGTGAAGAGGTTCAAATTCTTCATAACTTAAAATTAAAAATTATAATACCTGATTTAGTTTCCTTGAAATGAAACTTTTATCTCCTTGTGTGATTTAGCTCACTGAAACACAGACGAATAAAATCTTTTTAAAGATTAAATGACATTGCCTTAGGTTCTCCATTATGGGTCTCTCTTGCAAATTTTAATTCAGAATTGCTCCAACTATGATCATATGGATAACACAAAAGAAAGAAATCATGAAATAACATTGCCACTGGTACCAATTTAATTTCAGAAACAAATTAATTTACTTCTATGGATCCATCTTATTCATGTAAATCAAAAGCATCACTCTTCATGTTCTGTACTAAATAAAATCAAAAGCTCTTTAGCAGGTTGAGGAGAAAAAAAAATTTGTAAAATTTCCATGCCTGTTCTCAGCACCCTCCTCAGCCCTGAACTTCCTTATCTGAAGTTTTTGACAGAGTGCTTTTGGAATGAATTACTCACAAAATGTTATCCAAACAAGTAACAACAGCATCATTAGTACAATATATTGAAAATTTATCATACATCTCAACCTGTTTGTATTCTAACTTAGAGGAAACATAACAATTCAAACCCAGAAATGCTATCTGAAATGAACTTCCTGTTACAGGGTGAGGAACATATAAATGTTTGGAAAGGGAGTCATCTGGTCTCTTGGTTTTATAAATCTTAAGAATCATTTAAAAAATATTTAAAACAAGGTAATTTTAACTACAGAAAATATGGTTCCCTCTTTAGCTAGCTAAATGCATAGGGGACCTCAACGTAACCAATTTGTGGATTAGAAAGGAATCAAGGTCAACAAGACTAGCCTATCAATATTGATGAAACAGTACAAAGAGGAACAAGAAAGTCAGTTTTCCCCAGCAAATATAAGAGTTGAAATGCTATTATGAAAAGGTGATTGAAAAAATGCATCAACAAAATGCAGTTTGGAGGTCTTTGGGGTCCCTAATTTGTAAAAGTGTATGTAGATCTCATGCAGACAATGGAAGAAAATTAAACAGAGCCTAAATGTTAGATGGTACGAAAGATTATTATTAATTTATTATTATTAGTTTTTACTTTATTCATATATATATATATATATATATATCTACTTATTTTAAAAAATTCCCATAAAGTCAAATAAGAAAGATAAATATGTAGAAATGGTAAAATCAATTTCAGAATGTTTTTTGTAAATTGAGTTAGGGCAAGGTACTAAAGAGGAAATTCATAAAAGTTCATGGAATAAAAGAGACTAGATAACACTGACTGAACTGAAAGGAGATAGCTGTTTGTGTTATGCATTGTAGGAATACATAAAGGAATTACTGATATACCTTGAAGTACATCTAATAGAATTCAGAAAATAACTACTCATCTTTATTTCCTTATAGAGGAATAAAACCCCTCTTTAATTCAGGTTGAGCACAAAGGGAGGAGTTCTATTGGTCAGGGATGATACTTCAGCTATCAAGACCATGTTGTTATTTAGTTTGAATAATCAGAGTGAAATAAATTGCTAGAGCTAACGTGTTCACAAAGAAGTTTGTTACAGGAAACAGAATAGGATCAAAGTCGCTGTGCAGTGAAAGCTGTTGGATTCTGCATAACAAAGAGTTCAAAGATCCCTGAGACCTTATTTATTAAACTGAGCAACATGAACATAACCTATCCCACTGCAACAGTGTCTGGGCAGTGTTAGAGACAGAACAGTGTTCAGCCTATAGAGTGATTATATGAGTGATTTTTTCATAGTTTTATGAAGCAATGGCAAGAGTTAAAATGAATCATGTGGAAATGAAAAAGAAAAAGCTTAATGTGAATGGGAGCTAGTTACCAAGAGACCTATTTGTGCTTAGAAATAAGACTAAATCTATAAATAATGCACGAGGGCTCCAATTACTTACTACACACAGATAATGATCCTGGTGTTTCTTTGTGTGAAAAAGATTTTCACTGACAAGTTTGCCAAGTTATACTTCCTAATTACAATTTGTGAACATAACCCTGACAGAATGAAAAGAAATATATATTTTTTACTGATCTTAAATGGTTACCAATGATACCTAGTCTCACAGATGCTCATAATGCATGAGAAAATGCCGGTGTCAGAAATTGCTGGGAATGTTGCAAGGGCAGTCCACACAGACCAAGATCAGCTCAGCTGGAACTGGGATCCAGGAAGGCCCAACTGTCTCAGAGCATGCAGGATATCCAGGAACCACAGTGACACAGCTGGTGCTGAGCTTATTTTATGAGTTACTCTTTTTGAAAAATGGCAGATGCCTCAAAACTTTTTATAACAAGAGTCTTAGAGAGAGTTAAAACAAAATATAAATTCTCAAATCAGGAGGCTCCCAATAATCATAGAAAATGAGAGGGAAACATTTTTAAGTGGAAGTAATTTCAGAAGCTTTAAATAACAGTTTATAAAGATGAAGAGCACAAAATTTGGTAATAACTGATAAATATATGAACCAATAGAAGATTTTAAAAAGCAAGTCTATCCTCTATTTTT